TTATTTCTGTTTTGAATTTTTCTAGAGCCTGATTGATCTGTTTTGTTACTTCCTGTGCTTTGAGTTCAGGGTGTCCTGGTGGTTCACCATCGGCCTTTTCATCCTCATTTGCCCTACTGTTTGCCATTGGTAAACTGGAAGTCTGTCCTTGTGTCTTGCTTAAGTGTTTTCTCACTTTTATTTTTGTTGTTGGACTGTGCTTGGTTTAATCTCTGGATTATCACCCAAATCTTCCTGATATAGTTAGTTGCGCCCTAGCTTCTGTGTCTCTAACGACCCACAGGCATTCGCATCTTCATAACATCAGAGAAAACAGCTCATCAAATCAACCGCAATGTTTTACCCCAACTGATACAATCAGCAACACATTAAGATCAAGCACAACTTGGACACTGACCACCGGTAGTAGTCACTAGTCTATCACCCTTAAATCATTTGAATTAAATTGAAATCAAGAAGCAGTCAACCAGAACATGTCTACAGTGAACAAAATTTCAATATAGTGTATTTACCATTTAATGGCTCAGACAGAGCGAGGATGCAAGACCCCTGATCTCAGTTAGCTGATGGCTGAACCCCCTGACTCTGACTGACCTCGGACTGCAAGGCCCAGATTGAGTTCCCCATCCTTCTGAATGGTTGAACTTCACAACGTTCTATTACAGTTTTCCCACGCCCTTTCTTTAAAGATGTTCAAAGTTGGGAACTCAGAAAAATACCCTTGATGACCACCTCTGTCTTTGCAGAGTGAGTCCAAAGACTGGCACAGTCAGGAGGTCTGAGAGTGCAGTGGGGGTGGCTTATGGGGGTTCAGGGGCACCCGTGTGGCTACCTTCCCGGTGCTTGAGCGATGGTGGATGGGTCGGGAGCAGGAGTGGTTCCTCTTCTATTATTGTTTATAGTTAGCCTTTCCTCATTGAATCTTACCTCCTTCTCAAAGTCAACATGTACGAAGATCTGTTGCATACAGCATACTTTTATTTATTTATCTTTTGGGTCCCAGGGATGGTACTCAGGACCTTGCACTTGTGAAGCAGGCAGTGGAACCACTGAGCTAAATCCCTGGCATACAGCATACTTTTATTAAAAACAACAGGCCATTAAGGAGGAACATATTCTTTTATTGGAGAGTTTAAAAAGTTAAACAATACATCTTCTTGTCCTAAGAATTTTCTTATCCATCCCTTCCCCAGTAATATGTCATGGAACACCTCCTCTATTCTTTGAATTTAACCCACTTTCATCCTTTTTCACTGTGGAGAGGGGAAACATTTCTACAATTATTCATGAAAATAAATTTATCCATAGCTCCATATATGAATCTCCTAAATCATTAAAGGGCTAAGAAAAAGAAATATAATGTAATATAATATAAAAGACTCTTTTAATATGGCTAAGGCACTGCCTATATATCGTTATTCCAATTTTGTAAATAATTCTGCAAGGAAAGTATTATGACTTTCGAACCTTGGATAAAAAAAATAAGACTCAGTATGTTAGGGCCGGGGATTTAGCTCAGCGGTTTGGTGGCCTGCCTTGAAAGCGCAAGGACAGGAGTTCAATCCCCGGTACCCCCTCAAAGAAAAAGATTCAGTATGTTAGATGGTTTATATACAGTGTTATAAAGTTAAAAATGCTAAGCCTTCAATTTGGAATTAATTTTTTGCACCAAACTATGCCATGTCAAATACTGTATTAACATTCCATCTTCTTTCCTTTGATTACTCCTAGAGCCCATGGAGGCAGGTGGTATGAATAGAAACACCCTTATAGACTTCCAGCTGTTCCATAACCTCATCTTAGGTGCAGTGTCAATAGGGAATTTATAAATGATTTATTGCCTCCACAGAGAACCAGAAGAAGGTCACTGAGGGATTAGATAGCTGGACAGACTATCCCATGGATCTCATAACTAGTAATATTTGAGAAATGAAAAAAAACTCAACAGATTAGAGAGAGAACTCAAAGGCATATAAGAAATCATAAGGGATACCATATCTTAACCCCAGAAACAAAGTGTGAGGAGGAATATTCAGATGAGAAAAAGACTATGGGGAATTGGGCCAGAAAGTAGCTCTAGGTGCCCTAGCACATCTACTCTTCTGCTCTGCAGATGGACGGTGTGTCTGAAAGAGAACAGATGTGAGATCGTTCAGTCCTCCTGTGCCATCCATATGCCATTTTCTAATTCTCCCACAACTTTGCAACCACAGCCTTCCCCACTTTCCTTTTTCTGGACCATGGCTTCAGCTCTGGAAAACCTGAACTCTTACCTTCCCTTCCAAGGTGTGACTCACAAGGGCCCTGGGTGTCGGGAGGCACCAGCTGAGCGCAGGCCTTGGATGATGAAGATGGTGCCTACTATGATGCCCACGAGGCCCACGGACAGCCCCAGGGCGCAGACCACAGTCTCCGTCACTTCTGACATTGGGGCTGGAATCTCAGGTTCTGTGAAAGTGAGGGTGAGGTCAGAAGATGGGCTGCATTCATGTGCAGAATGTAGGGCAGGGCATGGGAAGTTGGCTCTGCAGATTCAAGGCTGGGCTTGAGGGGGAAGAGAGAAGCTTCCCATTACAAATGCTTCATGTGTGGAAAAGAAGTTTTGGGTATTGAGGCTAATGCGTAGGATGTTCTGGGTTGGCAGGAAATGAAAAGACACCAGAGGCACTGGGACTCACACATACCCCAGTGTTTCAGGAGAGGCTCGTCCAGGCCCCAGTGCTCCACTTTGCAGTCATAAATATCGTCCGCAGAAGGGAGGAAGGTGAGGTAAGCAATCTTTTGGAAGGAGTGGTCGCTCTTGGACAGGAAGCTGGTCTCAGAAATGCCTTCTGTAACCAAGTGCCCATTGCTCAGCCATGTGATGTTGATCATGGGAGGAAAGATGTTGTCCACTACACAGATGAGGGTGTTGGGCTGACCCAGCACCACAGGAGACTTGGGAAGTACGGTCACCTCAGGAACCTCTAGAAGAAGAAATAGCACTGATCTGAGTCACAATCAGCTCTGCCCTGAGGTTCTACATTTCTTCTTGAAGGAGCCCCCCTCCCACCCACATCGACCCACATCATCATCTGAGTCTTGTTTAGCTTGTGCTTGGGAACCCCTATATTTTGCCTGATTTGTCCCTGTGCTCTTCTTTCTTTAGATATGCTTAATAACTTCGGAGGTCAGGGGCCTCCCGTAGAAGGATTTCATGAACACATAATGCGAGGAGCTTGTGCTACATGGAACTATGTCATTTGTGGGAGGGAGAGTTTCAGGAATTACCCGGAGGAGATCTGAGGACTCCCTGGGAAGAAGGATGAGAAAACCGGTAGGAGGGGAAAGGCTCCGTAAGGTGAGGCAGAACGGTGAGCACAAACCATTGATAGCAGCAGTAGAGTTGGAACGTCTAATCATGATGTCCAAGTTGTGTTTCAATATGGCTATGTTATTCAGGGCACCTTGTGGGTCAAAACCTGCAACTTTAGCAATCTCAGGCTCCCAAAAGACAGTCTCTCTCTTCTCCAGGTCCACGTAGAACTGTTCATCGCCGTCAAATTCATGGGTGTACTGGCCAGCAGGACCATGAGACTGGTACACATTGACGCCGTAGGAGGCAACATGGTCAGCTGATAAAAGTAGGTGAACAGCAGAAAGGTGGAAAACAGGAAGGAAAACAACATGGTTAAACAAAGTGACAGAAAAAACCTGACTATTAGACAACGTCTTTGCCGCAATTATAGAAAATTCCCGGCACTTGTGCTTGCTTCCTCTTCCCTTGGTGTGTGTAGTTATCTGGTTAGAGTCCAGTCTGCCTTTCCAGGAATGATTTATACTCCACAGTGGCAGAATGTCACATATGGAATTTCTGTTATTTATTGGGTTTTTCATTCCATGTCTGGCACATTGTAAATGTATAATAATACTGTAATGGACTGGAAGGGGACGTGGATAAATTATTGTTGTCTTAGTAAGTAGTAGTAAGCTTTCTTTGCTGGTTTCAGTTTCTGCTTCATAAGTTTTATATCTCACCGAATTCTTTCATTAGTTAACAACAAATTATAATCCTTCCTTTCCTCTCAGTGTTCGCTCAGGACAGAGTGTTTTCTGTGTAGGAATTCTCTTCTTTCTCCCCCCTCTTTCTTTTTAACCAATGAAAAGCACAGAGAATCTCATCATTTTAAAAGTGTCCCTTCTGACAATTGTGGGGTACATAAGAAAGAATATAATGACATGAAAACATTATAAAATATAATGTAGTGACCCTTGGAAGAGAGCATCCAATTTCTTCAGAGATGAAAAATAGAAGCTTTATTTGTGTTTCGAATCTTGTCACCCCCTCTGATTCACCTCTGATTCCTCAATGAGATTACTAAACCTCCCCCTTTTCTGATACAATCCGCACATTCACTTGCAGACATGGATAAATGAAGGCACCAATTGCTTATCTGAGCGCCAAGGCAGAACAGCAGCCGGTGCAGCCTGACTCCGCCCCGCGAGACTAACCAGACACTTTTACCATTTCATCTTTCCTTGCACATTCCAGGGTTTCCTCCTCCTTTATCTACGGAACCTCCACAAACATCAGACATAATGGAAGGCAAAGAGGAAAACGCCCGTCAGGCATCATCTCTGCTGTCAGGGAGCTCAGTGAAAAGTGGGAGAGTCTGGGAGGACAGGAGCAGGCACAACCCCGGAGTGAGCTCCGCGCTGATGGTGTTGACAATTTATAGCCCAGCATCAGCTCTGGTGTCTGCAGTCAAAGCAAACTGCACCATGGTTTCACGTTTCTCTGTCTTTGCAGGGGCTGGTTTTCTCCCTGAAATTATCTTTTAGGATTTCCAAGAGACCAATCATTCACCCTGGAAATTTCTACTAATATTTTAGCAAAATCTTCTCCCTAAAAGTGCTTTCAACGGTTTATGGCCTCCATCTCCTCCCTCCCAATGTTCTGCCCGGAGAACAGGGTGCTTTCTTCCCCGCCCAGCATAATCCCCTGGGCGGATCACATAACGGGCCCTTCAAACAAAGCCTCCTCCTGCTTGCAGTTAATCTTCGGGACTCCTTTTGAGAACATTAATGGATGTGTAACTCTTTTCAGCTGATATTTGTTCTGGCTGCCACGTGCTGCTGGAGGACCTGTCACTGCCATACAAACTCAACCAAGTCACTGCAGTGGTTTCAGCCTCAGCTGTGACCCCTGTGCTGCTAAGCAGTCTTTCTTTCCTACACCTCAAACTGTTTCACCCTCTAATTTTTCACTCTCTAGGGGCCATGTGCCTTGCGTTTCCATCATTAATTCTCCCATGTACACTCATTATGTGCTCAAAAATGTGTACTGGGTGACAGTTGCTGCCCTCTAAGATTACAGAGTTGCTGGGGAAGGACCCACAGCTACACAGTCAGCAGAATCATGAAAATCAGGACCGGCGATGGCTAGGGCTGCACTGAGACGTGTGAGTTGCGAACACCGTTGCCCTCGTGGGCTCCTTCCTCCATAAAGGTATTAAAATGATGTTTTATGACAGCCTTGTAATAAAGACAATTTAATTCACTCTGAATTAAAAGTTAAAACATTTTCTTAGACCCTGAAACTTTATTTTTTCTTCTAATTTCAGAAGAAATTTTAGAGTACCTCCCGTTACACTTCCCCTTTCAACCATTTGACTTTTCAACTTTTCAAAAATAACATTACGATTCATATAAAACATCAGAGCCAGAGATGGCTTCTGAAAGGAAATAGTGATAAAGGAATGTATAAAGACAGGGTAGAAAGAGGTGGGCAACTGAAGCAGAGAGGCCTCAAGGAAAACATAACCTGTGACTGCTCACTTCCTTTTCTTTCTTTTTTCTTTGGTATTAGTTTATTTATTTTTTCTTTTTTATTGAGTTTATTGGTACTTTTAAAGTATGTAATACAGTTGCATTTATCATCAGGATCTTGTACCTTTACATGACAGATCTTGGTTCTCATTTTTTCCCCATACCCTTGCCCTCCAACCTCCCCTCCCCTATTTATAAAGACTTTGTTTCCATTTTTTCCTTTTCTCATATTTTTTCTTGTCCCTTATTTCCTTTCCCCTGCCCTTCCCACTTCCCCTACACCTTTAGCCCCTTTCTTCCTAGTCACATTATCAGTTATACAATTTGGATCTTGTTTACATATATGTGAATACCGAATAGTTTCTCTGGTGTGAAATGCTCACTTTCTTTTTCTTTTTTTCCCTCATTGAGTTTATTGGTACATTTTAGGGATACAGTACAGTTACATTCATCATTGGGATCTTGTACCTTTACATGACAGGTCTTGGTTCTCATTTTTCCCTTTGTCCCTGCCCTCCCTTCACCCTCCCTTTCCTTCCCCTTTAAAAACACTTCATTTCCATTTTTCCTTTTCTCATATTTTTTTCTTTTCCCTTATTTCCTTTCCCCTACCCTTCCCACTTTCCCTACACCTTTAGCCCCTTTCTTCCTATTTCATATTGTTACTTTCTTTTCATAGAACTTTGTTAGATGAAGTGGGGAATAGGTAACTTGGGTTGATAAAATAGCTTTCCAAGTTTTTCATTAAAATATTCTCAGTTTTAAACTTGGAAACAGCCCAACTGCCTATCAGTTGGAGACTGAATAAAAAAGATGTGGTTTTTCCTATAAAATGGAGTACTACTCAGCCATAAAGAATGAGAAACTAGAGTCACTCATAGGAAAATGGATGCATATTGAGGCCATATTCTTAAGTAAATAAATAGGACATGTAAATACCAAACAGTTTCTCTGGTATAAAAAACTAAAAGTGTAGATAAGATCCAAATTGTCTAACTGACAATGTGAAATAGGAAGAAAAGGGCTAAAGGTGTAGGGGAAGTGGGAAGGGGAGGGGAAGGGAAATAAGGGACAAGTAAAAATACAAGAAAAGGAAAAAAATGGAAACAAAGCCTTTATAAATAGGGAAGGGTGGAGGGTGTGAAGGGAGGGCAGGGGAATGGGGGAAAAATGAGAACTGAGCTCTGTCATGGAAAGGTACAAGGTCCCAGTGATGAATGTAACTGTACTGTATACCGAAAAAGTACCAATAAATTCAATAAAAAAGAAAAGAATTACAGTTTTAAAATGAAAACAAAGATATTCCTTACTTTGTTAAAGAAAAAATATAAAACTGTAATTGGAACGAACAGGGGACATTTTGACACAGATTTTCACCATTTCTAAAGCATATCCATATTTAATTTGATTATTTGTGAAGCAACACGTGAGGTACCCAAGGGTAGTGAAGAACACGAGATAAAATGGTCCAGAGGCACATCCTGCTCCCAACTGTGCTCATCCCCGGCACCGAGAGGTGTGGGAATCTGAGTCAAAGAAAAGGACGGCTTCCTTCGTATCTACACATTTCACGAAACTGTTTTCACCAAGATGCATAGAAGAAAGCCGGGCATGGTGGTGCACGCCTGTAATCCCGGCACTCGGGAGGCTGAGGCAGGAGGATCGCTGTGAGTTCAAGACCAGCCTGGGCTACATATTGAGTTCCAGGTCAGTCTCAACTACATAGTGAGACCCTGTCTCAAAAAAAAAAAAAAAAGATACGTAGAAGATATACAGAAAGCTTAAACAGTTGGTCAGAGAAATTCGAGAGTAATCGCTTGTTTCATTTGGGTAACGCAGTAGCTGACGCATGGAAACATCCCTAACCATCTGGGAAGTGTCTGGACGCAGCCAGTGAACGTCACGGTGCCCCCTCCAGGCTACATTCACCGGATCCCATACTAGAGACAGAATCAGGAGCTTAGCGGCACAGCTCCCTGGGCGGATTTGGCTCTGACTTCTTGAAGCAGAGAACAAAATAAAAGTTTGATCTCTAATATTGAGAACTCTCTCTTCAGCCTCTCTTCTCCCTTTCGGTTTCCTATTTCCCTTAGCTGTGCACTCACCCACGATGTCTTCACCTCCACAGGAACTCATCATGGTGGTCAGGGCGAAGACCCCGACAATTAGAGCTTTGTTTAGAATCATCCTCTTCTCAAGGTGGTCTCCGCAGCCACTGTTCTGAGCTAGGGAGCAACTGTGAGAGCTGAGCCAAGGAAATCTAAAGACACCCAAAGCACTGTCCGATCAGGTTTTGGCCAATCAGAAAAACCCTTGATGATGACACCTCAGTTGCCGGGTGCAGAGTTGTATTGGGAGGCCTGAAAGGGCCGAGGGGAATCCCCTGGTTCCGAGGCAGCCTCCTCCCAGAGCCGACCTGAGGAGAGCGCCGCAAATGCTGGGAGGACTTTAAAGAATTCTCCAAATCTTGACTTGGTCCACCCACCTGGGGTCTCTGCTGTTGGTAGTCAAACATTGCCTTGATTTCTCTCCTTGAGGAAATTCAGTTGGACGAGCTCTTCTCACGTTCTCTGTAATTCAATGACAAGTGTTTTAGGTCAGAGCTATGAAAGGAGTTATAATGACACGTGGTGCTGCCTACAATAAGTGTCTGATTTTTCATCCAGATTTTTCCTTCCCTTATGTAGTCTTTGTGCTCTGTGTTTTGGTACTTCCTGACTCCGTTTAAAGGAAATTTGTACACATTGATTACATAAAGGAAAGCTCGGGCTAGATCAATTACTCTGAGTTTTTAAAATTTAAAAATATCAACTCAGATGTTGAGGATGGAACAAGGGGGGATTTCTCTTGCTAAGAAAATTGATTTCCTTCCCTTAACCTACTGGATTTTTCATATTTGTTATCCAGACATATTAATATTTCAGATATTTGTGAGGGACTAGGGAATAAGCTTAGAGGGAGATTTTCCCCCCAGAAGAATGCTTTTTTCTGTGCATTGTGGAGCCCACAGAATGATGGTGACTTGGAAACAATCACTATGTCCCTGTTAGGTGACCTGCTCTGTTTCTCAGCTCTTGATGTTCCCTCTCAGTGACAGAAAATGCAAAGAGGGTGAGACAGAACATGTTTGGACATCTGGGAACTATCTGGATGCAGTTAACTAGTGTTGATGAGGCCGTGATCTAGGCGGTACTCACTGCTGGCTTTGGTGTTCTGTGGAATAGAAATCATTATATATAACATCAATATTATCTACCCTGTGACCACCATGGATTGAGATATGGAATAAGGCCACTCAATAATTATTTCTGAGTACAGACAAAACATGAATATTGCCCAATCCACAAAATAACCAAGTATGATGCCACCCCATGTGTGACTACTGTTTATCAATTGCAGCTTTAACCTCACTAAAGGTAAGATTTATTAAAGTACCCAATCATAGAATTACCCTGCCACCTCTGCCCACCTCCTGATAGAATCTAATTAAGTGCAAAACCCCCTCACTTAAATCTTCTTCAACATTGCCTAAAACGATTCCGAATCCTTTCCTAGTTTAACAGTTTTTCTGTTTCTAGGATATTGACCCCAGTTATTCAGTGAAACACCAATCTGAGTGTTGCTGTGAAGATATTTTGTAGCTGCAATCACTCTCATAGTAAGCCGACATTAAGTAAGAGAACTTCTCCCAGCTAAACTGGTGAGTGAGCTGGATCCAGTCAGTTGAGAAGCCACAGGGAGAGCCGAGTGTCTCCAGGAAAGAAAAAGACCTTGGGCACAGCAGCTTCTGCCTGTGCTGAGATCCTGACTAAACTGATGATTGCCCACTCTAAAGGCCTTGGACCATGACAGTTATTCAAAGTAGTTCCTGACAATAATTCCCTTGATATCCATTCCTGATGGGTTCTACTTCTGTGGTTCCAAACCCCCTCTTACTGAGACATCACACCGGCCCCATTGGTGAATTTTCTCCTTCATTTCAGTGAATGCTAGAACCAACTTGTCATCCAAGAGTGCAGTCCTGTTGATCCTTGCTTGGAGGACAGTGTCTTATCAGGTAATTGGGAGGGGTGTACAACTACTGTACTCACTAGGACTTAGAAAAATATGTGTCATACTTTAGTAATCATCTGCATTTTACAGGGAGGGTATTGGACTGCAGGAGTTTAATGAGTCTGCCCAAGGTCGCGGAGCTGATAACTGGTGTAGCTGGAGTGTGACAACACCAAGCCACGAGTCCTCATGGGGAGGGAGGGGCTGCTTCTATGTGGATTCAGAGTCCAGGGTCCCAACATAATTAGGGTAGATATTTGACCCTAAAGGTGGCCTATTGCTATATTGTTCTTTGACCCTCTGTCATTATGAGCTAAGAGGAATTTTTTTTTTTGTTTTTGTTTTTTTGGCATCAGGTATCAAACTCAGGACCTTGTGAGGCAGGCCCAGTGCCACTGAGCTAAATCCCCTGCCCCATAGGGCTCTTGAGGGTTCAGTTGAGAGGTGCTCATTTGCCACTCAGCATCCTCTTTGCTATGCAACAAATAACATATTTCTGTGCTTACACTGTATCCAGATTGGCCTGCATTGTGTCCTGCAGGAATTCCTTAATATTTTTGACAATTAACTATACAGTTCTTGGTATTGCTCCAGAAATTCACCTATTGATGTTACATTAAAAAATTTTAACTCAGATTCAGAAGTTAGGATCTTAAGCGCATAGAATCAGAGTCACATCTCAAGTGGGAAGTTGAGGGTCCAGTCTGAGTCCTCACATCCTGTGGGATGGCAGGAAAGTCTGAGCAAGGCAGAGTCATCAGCTAAGACATGATAGAGGAGCCCCGCATCTTTTACCTGATTTTGTGTCTCTCTTCTTCCTGCTCTCCTCAGCTATAACTCAGTGAACCTGATTCTAGCTTCTTCCATCGAGTCATGATTTTACACTTGATCTTAGCCAAAAGGCCGAGAAACGATGATTGAGTCATGATTTTAACATAAAGTAAAATTAGTCATGAATTAGACTCAGAAAAAATAGGATATCATTTTAACAAAAGTTAGTTTGTTACTTTTGTCTTCCAATGGGAAAATAAAAAAAGTGCTCTTTAAAAATTATTGTGAGAATAAAATTTAAATAAAAATAAAATAAATATCATTTGTTCACTAATTTTCTTAAAAGCGCTCATTTCGATGCTATTGATTTCATAGCTAAAATATTCTCTATATATGTTATGTGCCATTATGATTCAAATACTTGAACCTGCCAGGGCATAATTTACAGAATTCATCTTTACTCTAATTACCATTTGCAACAATCTCTAAGAATCTGTGTGTTTTCATATTCTTTGGTTCTGACTTTCAACTACTTTGTTCTGATATAGCTTTAATTATTAATCATTGAAGTTTTACAATAAAGACCAATATTTCTACCATCTGGCAGAATTAAAAGGTGCTTCGTAAAAATAATGGTTCAGAGTATCAACACGAAAATATGATGAACTTTATAATAAAACACATAATTATTCAATAATGCTTTTGCTTCTTAAAATTAATTAATTTTATTGGTATGTATAAGGTACACAATGTAATGACATTCATTATTGGAAATTTGCACCTTTGCCTAATTCATCTTGGTTCTTTTTTTTTCCCCATTCCCCTGCCCTCCCTTCAACTCCTCCACCTCTCCCTATCTACAAAGACTTTGTTTCATTAGAGGCTGTAGGTATCATTGGGATTGATATGATTAAGTAGAAATATTTCTACATAGTTTGTGGACTATTCATCATTCCTATTGATTTTTAGAATCATATCGCCAATTTTAGAATCCCATGCGGTGTTTAACATATTTCTATCCAGAGTCCTGGATTAAATGCATCAGCTTTTCATATTACATTAACCATATTAGTAATGTTTTGTTATCTTGTTTCTCAAAAATTAGATTTTGTTGATATCATGAACAGAAACACTTTGTCTCTGCATGTAGCTCTCTCTACACCTGTGAGTTTTCTGAGCAGCTTAATCTTCCAGAGACAAGAAACGCTGCCCTACGTGTGATGCTCACTGGCTGCAGGGAATATGTCCAGTGCTGGACGGTTGTTTCTCTTACACACAGCTTCCCCTGGCCAATAAATTCTAGTTTAACTCACGCTTTCTTGGTGGGGCAGAGTCAGGTGGGGCTGAAAAGCCACTCCGGTTTTGTTGTTTGTTTTGTCTCTGGTGTCCTGAATCTGTCTTTAGGATTTAATTCTTATACCAAATCTGTAATTATTAATATTGTCGTTAGTATTATTTCAGTCAATTATCTCTAACAGCAATAAGATGATATAAAATGAAACAGCACTTTTGAAAATTCAGCAATGGAATAGAAAAGAGAGGTGATTATTTTTAGCCGTTGTCTTGTGTTATGGATAGAATTGTGCATGCCGGAGCCACTTCTTTATTGCGTGCTCAGAAACAGGATCAACCTTTAAAAGTCTGTGTCGTGTTGGAAGAAGCTGAATTACATATATACATCTTATGCCTCTCTAAGAACATCAAATTCATCTCCTTTCGTGGCCTCAAAAGAGCTGCACTATTTCCTCTGATGGTTCTCTACATTCCTTCTTAAGTGCCTGAATCAGGATTCCCTTTTGCCTCTGTCAGCGGACACCTTTTCCCTTTTCTGAGGAGTAGAGGTCCTTTGTACAGTTGTTCAGGACTTCATCAGCCACAGACCAGTGGCACCGTCCCCCGTGTGGTTCTCATTTGCGGGACAGGGAAGTATTTGGTGCTTTATTTTGGAATTATTTAAACCTGGTTTCTGTACAGTTGTTTGTGCTCAGAGCCTGGCTGGGTGGGAGAAGAGTGGCAGCGTTTGGGGTTCGGGTGAGGAGGCGCAGACAGCTCTGATCCTGGGCGCCTTCCAGGGTCTGTGCCTCTCCGCCCGGTGAGCAGGTGGCGGGGACACCACTGCTGGTGCTCCTGGTCACAGCCAAGGGCTGGAGCTCAAACCGAGGGCGGATCACGGCCGCACGATGAGCGCCCTGAAGTGTTTCCGCTTAAGAAACTCCGAGGGCTCCGAGGGTTTTACGTCTGCCCCTCCCGGCGAGTTCCAGGATTCCGCACCGGAGCCTCCTGGGCTAGGTCTGCACAGCAGGCTGACAGTAAACCCCAGTCAACCTCACTGGTGTGAATCAGATCCGCGCTGTTTCAGTCAAACAACAAACGCTGGGATGTGTCAGCGGTGGAAGGAAACAGGACCGAGGAGAGGGGTGAGATTTGTCCTCAAGT